CCCTTTTCCGGTTCCCCCCCCCCCCCCCCCCCCCCCCCCCCCCCCCCAGGAGAAGCCACTTCATGGAATCCTGCTCTCCCCACCTGCCAATTCCAGGAATTCCGCTCCTCTGCCCCTGTCCTTGGTGCTGGATGAGGCAGCGGCTTCCCGGGAAAAAAGGGGGGAGGAGGCTGATTTCTAATGGAACCCCCGGGGCTGGATGGCAGGATCAGAAATAGCTGCGTTTCCAAGCGAGTTCCAAAACTCCGTTTCCATGGGAAACGGCTCCCGGGAGATGGGAACACAGAGAGGGAAACGCTGCGGCTGATCCGAGCAGGGGGAGATTTTCCAGCGGGATGGGGGCTCGGGATGAGGGGATGGAATTCTCATCCTGCTTTTCCCAGAGGGGTGGAAATGATGGGATTCCAGGCCAGGAGATGCTTGCTGCCTCAGGGATTCTCCAAAGAATCCAAAGGCCTGGGAAAACAGAGTCAGAGTCCAGAGGAGGCCACGGAGGGCTGGGAGAGCTGGGAATGTGCAGCTGGATGAGGGAAGGATGCAGGGAATGCTGGGAGCCTTTTCCAGAGGTTTCCAGGAGAGCTGGGATTTGGGAAAGGGCTGGAGGGCCAGGAGCCAGGGAATGGCTTCCAGTGGGAAAGGGGATCTTGGGAAGAAATTCCTGGCTGGGCTGGAATTCCCAGAGAATCCCTGGATCCCTGGCAGTGTCCAAGGGTGGATTTGGATCACCCCGGGATGGGATTGAAGGTCCATGGATCCCATCCCAAACCATTCCAGGATTCTGGGATCCAGGACACTCAGGATCCATCCCGAGGGATTTTTATGCAATTCAGGGAATGGAAAAGGGAAGGGAGACCCTTCCTGGAGTCCTGAATTCCCAGTGAAGCCCCTGGATCCTGAAATTCCTTCCCAGAGAGGAGCCGGGATGGGGATGGATCCAATGCCAGGCTGGGAGAGCTGGAATGGAGGGAATTTCCTGGGAAATGAGATTTGGGAAGGAATTCCTGGCTGGGCTGGAATTCCCAGAGAATCCCTGGGAGTGTCCAGTGCCACCCTGGGATGGTGGGAGCCGTCGGGATAGGAAGGGGATGGGATTTAAGGTCCTTTCCCAGCCATCCCGAGGCACTTTCTGGGAACCCAAAGGAAAGGTTGGAAATTGTTTTCCTTTTTCCGAGCTGGCCGAGATCCATTCCTGGCAGCTCCCACCCTCCCTCCTGACTTTATTACCTCGGCCAGGAGATTAAAAACTCCAGGAACGCCACAGCCAGGAGCAAAATTCCGGCTGTGTCCAGTCTCCTACAAAAGAAAAACCAGGCTGGCTCTGAATTTATTTTTTTTTCTCTCAAATAGCAGGAAAAGGAAAAAAAAAATCCGTAGAAAATCAATTTAAAATCCCCAGGGAAAGATCAACCCCTCTCCCAGCTCTGCAGGGAAGTTTCTCCTTCTTCATTTTCTTTCCCATTCCATTGTTTCCAACGGGAATTTCTCCTGATTCCAGCCCACACCTCCTAATTGCCCTTCCAAGGGATGATCCCACTCATCCCACAAATCTCTCACTTTGTTATAGCCCTAATTTTTCCTTGAAAGGGCTTTTAAACTCCTAAATCCATCTGGAAAGGGAGATTTTAACCCCAAATGTCTGAAAATGTGAAAATCTGAATATTTCAACTTTGATCCCTGTTTTTTCCTCCTACTTTCCTGGTTTTGTGAGTTTTTTGGGCGGTTTTGTTTTGATTTTGGTTTGGTTTTTTTTTCATTCTCCAACAGCTTAGTAGGGGTAACAATGGGAAAATTAGGTGTGATTGACTCAAATTTCGGTTTTGCCCAAAAAAAAAAAAAAGAAAAAGAAAAAGAGAACAGAAATCAATCAAAACCTTCCCCCAGAGCTCCATTCCCAGCTGGGACTGAGTCACCCTTTGTCTGTCACGTGTGGGATGCACAGAATCCCCCTGGAATTGCTGTTATCTTCCCAAATCTTGGATTTTCCAGCCTTCCAGCATCCCCTTGTTTGGAGCAGTTGTGGAGGCTGCACCTCCTCTTAAACATGAACGTGGGGAAAAGGGGATTTCTGTAAGAAATTTCCACCTTTTTTTTTTTTTTTTTACTTTTTCTTCGTGTGTTTTTATCTAAAATGCATTGTTTTTGAACCCAAAATTACAGATAATTTCTCCATGGAAGCAGAGTGGAGGTGGAAAAGTGCTTTTTCCTTGTACTTTAATCTCGGCAGCAGCTGTCAGCTTTTGAAAAGAGACTTTTTTTTAAGGAGATGGAATTGGGAATTGGTTTTTGGCTTTTTTTCCCCCCCTGATTTGCTCTGTCCAAAGATGAGCTTTTAGAAAGATTTTGGCCACGGGAGCAAAGGCAGCAGGATGAAACCCCACGGATTTGATTCCATTTGGAAGCCAGGGAAAGATTTTAGGGAGAAAAAAAAAAAAAAAGAAATATTTTAGGGACAAAAATATTTGAAAGCTCCAAACCTGAATTTTCTACGACCTGGAGTAAATTGGGAATGGCCACATGGAAAAGGGAATTTACTCAGAGTTGGTTCATCCAAGGAGGTCCAGATTAGAGATTAAATATTGGGATATTGGGAAGGAATTCCTGGCTGGAAGGGAGGGGAGGGGCTGGGATGGAATTCCCAGAGAAGCCGTGGATGCTCCCGGATCCCTGGGAGTGTCCAAGGAAAAGTTGGATGGGGCTTGGAGCAGCCTGGGATAGGGGGAGGTGGGATGGGATTGGGATGAGTTTTAGGGCCTCTTCCCAAACCATTCCAGGATTCCATGATCCATAAGAAGCTGGAATTGAAGCCGGGACTCAGCCAGAGCCGGGTCCCTCCGTGTTCCCAAATCCCACCCGGGCTGGGAGATCCAAACCAGGACCAAGATCCGAGACTCCCCAGGGATGCCCATTCCTAAAAAAATCCCTGCCGTGCCTGGAGACAGGAGCAGGCTGGAATAAAGCACCACAAATCCATGGATTAGCATGGATTCCCAGGGTAAAATTCCCAACAAAGTGATGGACCAGGGAAAGGGGCTCCATCTGCTCCCAGGGTTTGCAGCTTTCCGGAGCTTTTCCTCCTCCCGGCGGGTCTGGGATGCTCTGGAATTCCCGGTGAATCAGGACCATGGTCAGATCCCTGTCCGGTCAAAAGCTGCTCTCCAAGTGTCCAGGAATGGAAAAACTTTGGGATCAGCGAGGCTAAAACATCCAAGAGCCGAAGCTCTTCCCATTTTTTTTTTTTTTTTGGGTTTCCCGGGATATTCCACGGGTGCTGATTGCCCCTCCCTGTCTCGCAGACCAGCGTCTCCATCGAGATCCGCTACCAGGCTCTGGATGGCACGGTGGGCACCTGGAATGACAAGGAATTCCTGGAGACTCCCAGCGTGCACTCGGAGGGGGATGGGAGATATTCCCTGGAGACCGACAGCCTCCTGTCCGGCCACCGGCACGGCTCCGACGCCTCTCCCGGGAAATCCAACCAGCAATCCACGGAGAGGAACTTCCGGAGGTAACGGGACACGGAGAGCTTGGATGTGGGATTGGGGGGGGGGAGTCGGGAGGGCTTGGATTGTTGGGAAAGGGCAGCGGCATCCCAAGCCCTCAGAGGATCCATGGAACAGCTCCAGGTGAGGGTGGGATCCAGGTGAGGGTGGGATCCAGGTGAGGGTGGGATCCAGGTGGTCTCCAGCAGTTCCTGGTACTCCACGACACCCAGACAGAGCTGAACTTCCAGGATCGTAGCACATGGGGGGAAAATGTCATTCCATGCAGATCCCAAGTGGATAAAAGTTCTGGAAGTAGGTCAGGGCTCCCAGGTGGATCCGTGGAACAGCTCCAGGTGAGGGTGGGATCCAGGTGAGGGTGGGATCCAGGTGGCCTTCAGCAGATCCTGGTGCTTCACCACACCTGGAGAAAGCCAAACTTTCAGGATTGTAGCACACGGAGGGAAAACGTCATTCCACACAGATCCCAAGGGAATAAAAAAATCTGGACGGAGGTCAGGGCTCACAGGTGGATCTGTGGAACAGCTCCAGGTGAGGGTGGGATCCAGATGAAGATGGGATCCAGGTAGCCCCAGCAGCTCCTGGTGATCCAGGACAGAGCTGAACTTCCAGGATTGTAGCACATGGAGAGAAAATGTCATTCCATGCAGATCCTGAAGGGATAAAAGTTCTGGATGCAGGTCAGGGCTCACTGGTGGATCCATGGTGCATCTCCAGGTGAGGGTGGGATCCAGGTGAGGGTGGGATCCAGGTGGCCTCCAGCAGATCCTGGTGCTCCACCACACCTGGAGAAAGCTGAACTTCCTGGATTGTAGCACATGAGAGAGGAAGCATCATTCCATGCAGATCCCGAGGGGATGGAGGGTCTGGCTCCTGGCCAGGCCCAAAATCCTGGTGGGATTTCAGTCCAGGTGCAATCTCAGGTGTCCATGGTGCTCCCAGGACTGAGGTGGCTCCGGGGCAGCCGTTGGGATCTCAGTCACTCCCAGGATAAGTGAAATCCCACAGCTGGTGATTCCTGCTGGGAATTCCTGAGGAATCCCACAGTGGCAGGTGGGACACCTGCAGTTCTTCCAAGGAAATTTCCAGTTTTCCATTCATTTAGGGATCCGTAGCTTTTCTTGGGTGTCTCTGTGAGCTCCTGGGATCAATCCCAGGGACTGAATCCAGACATTCCTTGACACAAATGTCATGGATTCCTTGAATCTTTGACATTCCTTGATTCCTTGGAATCAGTTGCAATCCCAGCCCAGTGACTGGGAATGCTGCAGGTGACTCCATTGGATACTCAGGGCACAATTCTTGGATGGTGCTGGAGTCTCCATCCCTGGAAGTGTCCAAGGAATTCCTGGATGTGGCACTCAGAGCTCTGGGCTGGTGTCAGGGTGGACTCGATGATCCTGGAGGGATTTTCCAACTTCTGGGATTCTGTAAATCCAGGATTTGCAGCCACGAGGGAATTCGTGGAATTCTAAGGTGTTTTTTCCAGGCAGCTTTCCACAGTTTTTGGAATTGTGTTGTCTGGGGTGGCTTTGTCCATGGGTCCAACTCTCGAATCCATTGGGAAAGGGAACAACTGGAAGAGGGGAGACATCAAAGCCCTGAGGTTGCTGGAATTCTTAAGGAATGAGATGGAGGTGGAAGGGAGGCTCTGGAAAAGGGAGAGGGGGACGGTGAAGGCAGAGCTGGGTCCTGGTGTCACCCACGGCTCCCTCGGGGACACCACATTCCCTGCCTGCTCCTCATGGATCAACCACTTCCACGGTGATGGGTAAGGGAGGATGATCCTTGTATTCCCAAATCATGGAATCGTGGAATATCAGAACCATTTCAGCTGGAAAATCCCTCTAAAAAGCAAACATTCCCCCAAATCCACAGGGATCCCAGCCTGGAGCTGTGAATCCAAACAGAGCCCTTGGAATCAGCTGCTTTTTCCATCCCATTTCTGCCCCTCAGGGTTATCCCATATTGGACAACATTCCATTAGGGAGTAGCACTTCATTGTGGCCAAAAAAAAAAGGGAAAAACGCTTTTTTCCCCACGGATCCAGACCGGGAATAGCCCTCTAATTGCTCGCATCCCTCCAAGGCAGTTCATTAACTGTGGGAACTGGGCTGAATCCAGGGAATTTTCAAGCAAATCGGGAGCGCGGCTTCGTTTCCCGGCTCAGCGAACCGGGACGAGGCAGAGCCGGGAATGCGCCGATGGATTAAACAGGAGGAGGCCGGGCAGGGAGCCAGGAATGGCACGGCTGGAAGAGGGGGGTGAGGCTGTGTGGGATGGGATATCAGAGTCCTGCCCGTGCCGCTGGAATTTGGGGATTTAGGGAGCACAAAGGATGCTCCATCCCTCGTGGAAGTGTCCAAGGAAAGGTTGGATGGGGTTTGGAGCAGCCTGGGATAGTGGGAGGTGTCCCTGCCATTGCAGGGGTGGGACTGGGTGGGATTTAAGGTCACGTCCCACCCAAAACCAGTCTGGGATTCCAGGGGATTCCAGGGAATTGGAGGATGCTGCTGGGATGGCTCCAGGATGGGTTTTCCGGTTTCTCATCAGTTGGATCCTGTGGGATGCAGCTCTATGGGATTAAAGCAGAAAATTAAGGATGCAGGGAGAACTTGGAGCTCCTTCCCGAGCCTCAAGGAGTTCCAGGAGATCTGGGATTTGGGAACAAGGATGGAGTGCCAGGAGTCAGGGAATGGCTTCCCACTAGGAAAGGAGAGCTTGGAGTGGGATCTTGGGAAGGAATTCCTGGCTGGGAGGGGCTGGGCTGGAATTCCCAGAGGAGCTGCCCCATTTTAGGAAGAATTGTGGCATTTACAGGATGTGCAGAGCCGTGTCCTGGGTTGGATATTGGGAAAAATTCCTTCCTGGAAAGGTTTGCCCATCCCGGGCACAGCTGGGAACAGGGCAGGGGTGGAGCCCCCATTCCTGGAGGGATTTCAAATCCCTGTGGATGTGGCCTTGGCAGTGCTGGGGATGGTCGGACTCGGAGAGCTTTTCCAACCCAAAGGACTCAGTGATTCCGTGACTCTGGAATCCTGAATCCCGGGAAGGACAGGGCTGATGTTTGTGGTATTCCCACCAGGATGGAAGAGGACGAGCTGTATTTCCACAGCGAGGATGAGCTCCTGGGAGAGGGGGATTCCCTGAGCCAGGGATCCCTGGACACGAGGTAGGGAGAGGCTCCTCAGTGCTGTGCTGCCCTTTGCCTTTTCCCCATGGATTTCCCACAGGAATTGTCCCTGGATTCCCATTCCTGGGCTGCTGGTGGGGAGGAGAAGCGATGGATCAGCCAGGAAAGCAGCCTTGGAATGGGATCCTGGATGGGGATTGGGATATTGGCTGGGACACTGCCTTGCCTTTGAGGTGCCCTCCTGTCTCCATGTCCTGTCCCCAAATCCCAGGATCAGCCATTCCCATGGGAATGAGCTCCCTGTGTGTGCATGGAAGTTTGTTTGCTGTGGCTTTTCTTGGTGTGACAAAAGAGTTTGGGAATGAGCCAAAGAAAGGGAATTTCAGGGGAAATCTCAAGGATCATCCCAAGAGGAGCTCAGCCACAGGAAGGGAAAAGCTCCTGAATTCCTGTGGGATAAGGGATGGCAGGAAGGACATGGAGGGGCTCAGAATAATGGGATTGAACCCTGGCTCTGCCTCGGATAGGGCTGAGATGGACCAGCTGATCCCTGTAGGCCCCTTCCAATGGGAAATATCCCATGGCTCCCATTATCCCATGGATCCCATCCCATCATCCCATGGATCCCATTATCCCATGGCTCCCATTATCCCATGGATCCCATTATCCCATGGATCCCATGGATCCCATCATCCCATGGATCCCATTATCCCATGGATGCCATTATCCCATGGATCCCATTCCATCTCATGGATCCCATTATCCCATGGATCCCATCCCATTATCCCATGGATCCCATTATCCCATGGATCCCATCCCATCCCATCCCATCCCATCCCATCCCATCCCATCCCATCCCATCCCATCCCATCATCCCATTATCCCACCCCATTATCCCATCCCATCTTTTCCCTGGCTGGGCCATGGATTCTGTTGGATATCAGGACCTGGGCCTGGATCATCCATCCCAGGATTCCCAGTCAGTCTGGATCAATTCTGGCTGGGAGGGGCAGGAATTCCCCCAGCCCTTCCTCGTGGAAGTCAGGGATGAGGGAGGATGTGGAGATAAATTTGGGAGAGGGAGATTCCCAAAGCAAAGCCAATTAAACGAGGTTTTTAGGGATAACAGGAGTAGAGGCCTGGAAGGGGATGAGGCAGAGAACACTGGAAATGCAGGAAATTCCCTGGGAGGGGAAAAGTTTATCCCCCATCCCAAACAATTCCTAAATCTCAGCATCTCTGGGGGTGTCAATGGGGTTTTATCCCTGTTTTCACTGAGAATTCCTGGAGGATTTTGCTCCAAGGAATGCCTGGCTCGGGCTGTAGGAAACACGTGCTGGAATCTACCAGGAATCAAAAAAAAAAAAAAAAAAAAAAAAAAAAAAAAAGTTGGGAAAAAAAAAAAGAAAAGAAAGGTGAGAGAGTGAGAGGTTCCATAGTGCAGCTTTTGGGAAGGATTCACAGGATGTGGAGCATCCTTTGGAATCCGAGGAAGGGCTTTGGTTAAAATTCCTTTGGGGAAAAAAAAAAAAGTCCCAGCTCCTTTGGGAGACCTTTCCTTTTCCACCACTTACAGATCCCAGATCTGGGAACAATTTGGATGGGAAGAACAAAAGGAGGAATGCTGGTGTTTGCAGAGCTGCATTTCTGGCAGGGATTTCAGTGGGATGGGGAAGGTTCCTGTTGGATCCCAATCCCAATCCCATTCCCTGCTCAGCTCCTGAACATCCCTTCCTGCAGTCCAGGGATCCCTCTGGATTCCCCGTTTTCCACATGGATGGAAGGTCTGGGAGCAGGAGGGCAGGGATGGGAAGGAAAGGGGGAGTGGGATACACAAGGAAAAATGGGATGAGCAAGGCAGGGAACTCCCTG